TTGGAATAGGTTGTCTGGCCTCTCTGCCTAAAAAGCCGGCATGCAAAAGAATTAGAAGGCATACTCGGACAACGTCGACGTCATCCATCCGAGTAAAACCATCTTTATTATTCAAAAATCTTGTCAGGTCTTCTACGTGTAGACTCGGCCTCTCCAGCTCAGGAAAAACCCGGGATAGCCATGATGGGCGGGTAATGTGTCTAGTGTACCGACCTACATCATCGTGTCCGAAGCGTAGACCGGTGATTAAGCAAAACTCCTCCCGCCCAAAACACGTATACGCCGGTGGAAAATCAAACCATATCTCTTCATCACGACGTTGTATAGTCTCTGGTAGATCTCTAGTCATGGTTTGAAGAAACAGGTGTGTCAACATCGCATCTCCACCGGGATGTTGTACTTTCAGCCATGGCCCGAAGCATGTATCCTCAAACATTTTTCTTTGTGTAGGTGAAAGCTTCGACGCAATTGTTTTGGCCAGGCTGACTTTATTTCTCAAGGTCAATTGAGCCGAATAAAAGTTCTACAAAAACAATAAACATACTAAATTAGATATACCAAAAACTACACTGTGAAGATATACCAAAAACAATAATAAACATAAATAGTAGTAGTTTATTCTTCAAACTTAAATATGCAACACTGTGAATTTCGTATTTGTCTTTGTTTTTTGGTTGAAGTAATGCAATTCATTCAAGTTTCAATTTGCAGAAGAAGAATAGTTTCTGAAAATGAAAATCGCAACACGAAAATGACTATCGCAACGAGAGAATCGCAACTAAAATCGCGTTACGATTTGCATTTCGCGTTGCGATTCTTGGTTGATTTAATAAGCAATCTAAGTGAAATGGTTAATCTATTATTGAAATTACCAGTAAACTTATCATCAATTTCAATATGAAAAACCTAATAATAATGCAAAAATTTCAAAAAGAAAATAATTAAAAAAACTAACCCTCGTTGGTTGATTTGATTGATTTTCCATTTCTGATTGTGAGGGTGGCTCTGAGAGATTTAGATAGACGGATTTCGCCGGAGATGGGGACGGATTTCGTCGGAGATGGGTGAGAGAGTGAGAGATGGAGATGGGACTGAGTTGTGATTTTAGGTTTTAGGTTATGAGTTGCGATTACGGGATATACTGTGGACAGTTCAGTGTTCCAATATATTAATATTAATGTTTGGAATTTAAAAATAAAATACTTGGCCAGGATACTAATGGCGCTTTGAAAATCGCATTGCGATTATGTATTATCGCGTTGCGAAAGTCAGTATCGCGTTGTGAAAGTAAGTATCTCGTTGCGATTTTTTATTATCGCATTGCGATAGTCAGTATCACATTGCGATTTTCCCAATTCGCGTTGCGATTTACTTATTCGCATTGCGATTTTCCCAATTCGCGTTGCGATTTACTTATTCGCATTGCGAATTGGGAAAATCGCAACGATACTGTAGACCATCGCAACGCGATTTTCAACTATCGCATTGCGAAAATGCAACGCGAATTTGCGATAATGGAGATCGCGTTGCGAATTAGCGATCGCATTGCGATTTTGTTGGTCATTTTGGCAAATCCGGAAAAAGTTGGTTAAAATCGTATTTTATATGGGATTTTTGGTCACTGAGGTTAACCAAAGTCTCTTCACGATGACTTTAAAGCGAAGGACCCCAATTTTGATGTTTTATTTTCTTGGGTAAACTATATGTTCAGTACCTAAATTATTACTTTTATTCCGTTTTAATACTTAAAGTTTACTTTTTATTTCATTTTAGTACCTAATATTTATTTTTTATTTCATTTTAATACTTAAATTTTTAACGGCGGGTAAACAAAAAGTAAATTTTAGGTTTGTTTTTGAAAAAAATTGAATGTTTAGATATTAAAACGGAACAAAAATGATAGTTTAAGTATTAAACATGTATTTTATTCTATTTTCTTCTATGAAATTCTTTTGCGTTTTCTTTTGGTTTAATAATCAAAATGATCCCTGAATTAAACTTATTTTATTTTCTACTTAAATATCTAAGTTATAACTCAATATCTAATCTCTAGTCGAACTACGAGAGACACCTATGGATGAACTGAAAGGTGGAGCGATATTCTTAAAATTTTTAAATTTTTATATAATTTAATTATTTTTATATTTTTATTATAATTTAATTCTAATTAATATAATTTCACCTCTAAAATATTATGCTCACCTACTGGCGGAATTAGAAATTTATTATAGCATGAGTTCAAATATCTTTAACTTTTTTATAAATACAGTTTTTTTAATTGAGTGGACTTAATTAATTTTTTTATTTTAAAAAATATACACTTTTAATATTAATTAATATAAGAAAAATAATCACAAAGTTACACCTCTACTCCTTAACCCATATAGAAGGAGACCTTATGTGTGTATGGTTGGGGGAATGTGAGATTCCATTCTCCCAATGCGAATCTCACATTCCCCGTTTGGTTGGCCGGGGTAATATTACATTACCAATAGTAGATTTTTTGGGGTATATTACTGGGAATGTCATTATCTCCCTTTCTTTAGGTATTGTTGGATTACCGGTGTTTTGAACTAAAATGCCCTTAAAAAAAATTTCTTTCAAAAATATCCTTATTCTATTATTGAATAATAAAAATTATACGAAGGTTAAATTACAAATTTATTCTTAAACTATTTTAGATTTACAAAAAAAAACTATAATTAAAATTTTATATGAAGTTTAAGGATTAAAACAAAATTTTACCTTTTCATTAAACCTTTTTATATTTTCAATTTTGTAAAAAAAATTATATAAAATTTATGAATTTAAATTTTTTAAAGAAAAATATATAAATATTTTCTAACTTGTTAAAAAAACAAATATATAATAAGGATAATTTAGTTAAATATACATTCCAATAATCTTTTATTCTTTTAACCAAACACTGTAATCTTACATTCCTTGCTAAACCAACCAAACACAAAATACAACATTCCCAGTAATCCTATTCTCTGGTAATCTTTTATTCCCACTGATAATCTTATATTTCGTGAACCAAACGCACCTCATGGGTAACCGGTCATCATTGGATCATCACAATTATCATTTTGTACGAAGTTCATTTATTATTAATTAAAAATGATGGATTAAATTTTCACGTGATCTTAATTTTACAAAAGAATAATATAAGATCTTGATATTCATCACTTAAACTGTAGCAAGTAGTCAATAATCTTGTTATCAATTTGAACTTGCAAACAATATTTTTTGAATTAATTATTGATATTTGATCTATTAATCGACTAATCTAGATCGTGTATTACAGAGGCGATGACGACCCTCCCAACCCAGTTTGCTCCATTCGCAAACATCAATGTTCGAACCCCTGACCTTGCTTAAGGAATCTAGTACCTCATCTCACTAGACCAACTGATGGTTGGTAACTTACAAATAATATTTTAAATAGAGTATCAAATTATGTTATATTAAAATAAAGAAATTAAATATCAATTTTTACCATAATAAAAGGACTAAAACAATAGTTAGACCATATAAGTCCTTCAACTCGTCATCGTGACCTTTTCCACATGTTGGAAAAAAGGATATTACTTCACCCAGCTAATTCCCTCCATGTCGGCCTTAAAGAATCATCGTCTAATGTCAAAGATGATTGTTCCTGGCGTTATCGCAGAACAGACGTATCATGGCCCTCCCTCTTTTACTCTGCCGTTCGTCCAGCTCGACTCCACGGGGTTTAAGTAGTTGCAGACTGAAGTTTCTTAGCTTTTGTTAGCTTCCTTTGTTCACCAAAAAATAAATCATTGTTTAATTAAATTTAATGTTAAACAGGTTTTTTTTCCAATACCAAATTAGCATAAAAATTTATTCCTGCAAATGATAGATTTAATGAAATTTGTTGTTTTTAAACACGAGCTTAGTTACCATTCACAAATACCCATGTATTCATTTTTTTCCTCTTAAAAATATTTTTAAAAATTTTAACTTACTTATTTACATAAAGTACAAAATAAATAATTTCATACCAATTACAAATTAAAAATAAAAGTTTTAGTCAACATTTTCATTTAAAAAACTATTTGATTTTTTTTCAAAAGTTGATGGAATTTCAACAACCCATTAAGTTGTGGCATGCGACTATATATATCATTACATGTTAAAATTGTTAAATTCAAATATCAAATTAGACAAAAAAATATCAAAGGAAAGACAAATTCGGTACAAATTGTAATTTAAAAAAAGAAGCAGCATAGGTACCAATACCATATTAGAAAAAAACTCAAAAAAGTAACAAATTCGGGTACCAATCATTTAATTAACCTTGGTTTAACAAGCGTACGCCATGGCAGCTGCATTTGATAAACCAAAACCTGAAGTTCAAGGGTTCAATGATTAACCTATCAAGAATCTACGAAATTCGTTTGTAAACATATACTCCGAAGCTCACTCAGATGTTTAGCTCAACGGCAAAATTTAAAATGTCCCAAGGGAAAACCATGACCTTCTGTTGTTTCAGGAGTAACAGAGCTATTGCTTTTTTCTTCCACCCTTCCCGGACTTGGAAGATCCGGAAGTACTCGATGTCGATGGAGCTTCCTGCTTCTTAGTCCTTCCCGGATGTCTAGGTACCAACTCCGCAACTTGGAGCTTCAGCTGTTGCCTGCAACCACACAAATTATGGAACTACAGCGCATAATTCACTCCAGCGCTACTCTTGTTCTTCTTCTCATTTAATTTTAATGAAAAAAATGAGACACATGCAACACTTTTCCCTTCATAATCTAATTTCGCAAAGTCGAAGATGGAAAGTGTTTTCACACCATCAAATAACTCGCGTTTTCTACAGAAAATATGGCGCTTTTGTTTCAAAGAGTTCCATTATTTATTCTCAAACTCAAAACTGGCTGTATAAGTACGTTAAAGACGACACTTACTTAAGGAATGGCTGGATTGCTTAAAGTCCCATCCTCCTTTTTCAATTGAACCCTCACTCCCCTCTTGCATGAAATCACGAGGATATGCCTTGTCAATCTGTACAAATCAACTTTAACTCGGTTGTATAACAAATATAAAGAATTAGTTTGTTCAAAAAGCAGGTAGAGTAAAAATTTGACAAATCATTCAACAAGTGTGAGATGAATAGGTATTTGGCATTTTCGTTCAAAAGCCCCAAGTTCCAAGATGTTCCGCAAATGATTTTAACATCCTTGTCATAGGATGCCAAAATCATTTAGCTAATAAATAGCTCTAAAGGTAGCAAGACGCTGAGGTTTGAGGAGCAACCTTCTTGTCAGGTAAATCGGTGGCAGGGGAAACAAAGTTTACAAAAGGCACGGACAATAAAAGTGAATACTAATTGTATAACTAAAGATAGGTTTCGGAAACAGTGCACATGCAAAGGGAGAAATCAACAATGGATAAGGTAAAACACTGTATGTGTAGACCCACACTCTAGGAATAGACCCTTGAATGATGAACGGAGCAGTGCACGAAAAACCCAAAAACCATACTTGTGGCATTCAGAGACCATAAGAGTTTTACATCCTCAAAGGAGGCAATATACAATGGTGGTGACAACCTCGGTTAATTTTGATTCACCCAAGGAAATAGTATCTGTTAGAATTTGATGATAGAAAGTCCTAAATGTCCATTTATTGGTAGATTCACGGGGTAGTACAGAAGGGAGCAATGATAGAAAGCAACAAGAGTAAGACATATCTTCATTTATTTCGATTGTTACAGAAGGAAAAACACATATAATTGTTGCTATCCACAACAGATTTCAACCATTGCTAATGGAACTATTTAGCAGGTTACTTGAAACCTCAGGTTCTAATCAGGAAAAAAGTTCATATTAGATTTCAACAAAACCTTCTACTTGGAAACTGATACAAGCTCTAAAGGTGTGGGGGCAATTCTCTCTCAAGATGGCAGACCTGTGGTTTACTAAAGTAGAGATTTGGGACCAAAGCATGTTGATTTGTCTATATATGAGAAGGAGTATTTAGCCATACTCATGGCTGTGACAAAATGGAGGCACTACCTAGAAGGAAGACCTTTTGTTATAAAAATAGATCATGAATCCTTGAAACATCTACTGGAACAAAAATTGACTACTACAATACAGAAAAAACAGGTTACAAAACTTCTTGGGTTGGATTATTTAATTCAGTACAGAAAAGGAAAACACAACAAGGTGGCTGATGCTTTATCCATGAAGCATGAGGAAGGAGTTGAGCTAAACCAGTTGAGTGCTACTATGGTAATTCCAGCTTGGGTACAAGAAGCAGAGCTAAGTTATGAAGGAGATTAAATAGCTAAGGATGTCATTACTACATTGGCAGTGTCAGAGAATGCTGTAGAGGATCAGACTTTTTCTAAAAGCATACTGAGATACAAAGGACGGGTGTACATAGGTGACCATGGAAACCTTAGACAACAACTTTTTCAAACACTGCATGATACTCCACAAGGGGATCATTATGGGGTTACTGCTACCTGTCACAGGATGCAGTTATACTTCTATTAGAAAGGGATGAAAAAGATGGTGCAATAGTATGTGCAACAATGTGAGATTTGCTATAGAATTAAAGATGAGCATGTGTGTTTTTTTTACAATGTGAGATTTGCTAGAGAATTAAAGATGAGCATGTGTTGAAACCCAGGTTATTACAACCCCTGCCAATACCTCAACGAGCTTGGGAATTTATAACCATGGATTTTGTGGAGGGTTTGCCTTAATTCACAAAGGTACAATTGCATTTTAGTAATTATTGATAAATTCACTAAATATGCACATTTTGTGCCCTAGTACACCCCTTACAGCTGCTGAGGTTGCCAAGGCTTACTTAGATCAAGTATACAAGCTACATGCACAGCCTAAGATTGCTCTTTTTGATAAAGATCGAATCTTTACTAGTGTGTTTTGGAAGGAACTACAAAAATTGTTGGGCACTACAACCATATTTACCACTGCATACCATCCTGAGACTAATGGTCAGACAGAGAGACTCAATCAGTGTTTAGAACAATCTAAGGGAACTGTGTTTTGCTAGACCAACTACCTGGGTGAAATAGTTGTCCCAAGCAGAATGGCGGTACAATACCAGTTTCCACACTTCTTTGGGAACTACCCCATTTACGGTATTGTCTGGCTACATGCCTCCAACCATGACTAGGTCACAGAATAAGGGTGGCAGATGTGCAGAAGCTCATGCAAGAGAGGGATCACCTAAATAACATTCTACAAGATCAACTCACTAAAGTACGACAAAGAATGAAGCATTTTGCAGATAGAATATAAGTGATCGAGAATTCCAAGAGGGAGATGAAGTTTACCTTAAATTGCAACCTTATAGACAGACTTCAGTTGCTCTGAGAAAGAACCTTAAACTCTCAGCAAGGTATTATGGTCCCTGTAAGGTTTGAAGAAAATTAGGTCAGTTGCTTACCACCTGACACTATTAGCACACTCCCAAATACATCCAGTATTTCATGTGCGTATGCTCAAGAAGAAGATTGGAGAAAAAGCAATTACCTCCAAGGATCCTTCGGAAGTGAATGCTGATGGACAAATCCGAGTGTATCCTGCCATGGTTTTGGATAAACGAATAATAATAAAAAAGAAAATCAAGCTACAACTCAACTGTTAATTCAATGGTCTATCTTGGGTTCAGAGAATGCTACCTAGGAAGACTTTTCGGTTCTGAAATCACAATTTCCTAATTTCGATCCCTGGGGACAAGCATCTACTGTAGAAGTGGGTATCGTAACGACCTAGGAGGAGGAACTAGGTTTTGTAGAAGGGGAAGTGGGGAAAGAGCTAGGGATTACTGAGGAGAAATTGGGAATTGAAATAATAAAAAAAAGGGGAAATGAAGTTACATGATGGGAACGTGGAAGAGGAATTAGGGTTTGTAGAGGGGAATTGGGGAAAGAGCTAGGGATTGCTGAGAAAAAATTGGGAATTAAAGCTGAGAAGGGAGAAATGAAGTTAGCTGGTGAGAACGTGGAAGCCCAACTGGAGTCAAAATACTTGAGTGATAAAATGAAGTGGATCGAAGAAAAAGGAAGTGGGTCATCAGCTCTTATGACCCAATATGAAGGCAGTGCATCATCAATTCATGGACATGCTCCAGCCAAGTGAAGCCCCACGAACGGTTAATGGAATCTGCTACAAGGACGCATAGTTGGCAAACAAATAAATAAAATTAGCACATGGAAAATCAAATATATATATATATATGAATGTGTACCGTGAACAAGTTCCTTATGAATGAAAATATCAGAATTCTCTTCTTTTACCTTAAAATTCCCTCTATTTCTTAAATCCTTTCTTTTATTACGAGCTCAGTCCTGACATGTTTTAAAATAGGTTATCCCATAATAAAACTACTCATAGATTTATCATGATACGAACACAATAAAGTAAAAGAAATACACTACACATATTGTCACAAAAGTTTTGTAAGTTATATTTTAATTATTAAAGTTATTAATAAATTAATATATTATGAGAATTGATGACGTTGATGATGAATTAGACTATATATATATATTAAATATCAAGTTAATAATTTAGTTATTAGAGATCAATATGGATATTTAATTTTCTATACATCATCAACAAGAAGGGAATCAATCACTAGTAACAAGAAGGGAATCAATCACTAGTAACAATTAGGGATCGGCCTGGGTAGTGGTTATGGGTTAAGTGCATCTCCATTCTTTTGGAAAAGTGATTAAATTTAGTTTAATATGTTAAGGAAAAAAGAAAAAAAATTTACAATTTTTGCATACACATTATTTTGAAGAAAAGAAAATTAAAATTTTGAACCATCATTCTTAAATTTCTAGATCCGCTATTGGGCATGGGTCGAGTTGGGTCTGATTTTTAGTCCACCCGGCCTGACCCGAGAACAAGAAATCCTCCACCCAAGATCCGACCCGACCTGACCAAAACAAGATTTCATCCGACCCAAACCCTACCCGAAATAATAAAAAATATATTATTTTTATTCAATAAAAACATGGACATAATTAAAAAAATAATATATAGAGGGGTATTATTGTGATTATTTATAAATATATAAGGTAAAATTATATATTTTTTTCGGGTTGGGTCAGGTCGAGTATTTTTCACCCTAAACCCGAACTGACCTGAACAACACATTTAAAAAATCTGACCCGACCTGAATCCTATTTTTCTTTAAAAAAAATCGATCAGGTCGGGTCGAAATCCGTCGGGTTTGGGTTCATGCCCATTCCTAGTAACAATTTTGTGGATTATAGACAATGTTAGTGACAAAAATAACTTATGAAACATTAGATCAAAATATAAAATAAATGAATATTTAGTGATATCGAGTGTAGTTTATCCAAGAAATACAAATTATATCCACACCATTCATTAAAAGGACGAACGCGGACGAACGGCTTCGATCAGTAAACTACAAGATCTCTAACGTAGAATCAACCGCACAAAATTAAAGCTTTTTTAGGGTCCTTTCCCCTATATTCCTTCCGATCATCATCTTTGCTTAATTTTATCTCTCTCGATTTCTCAGGTAAGAAAAGAATAATTAAATTAAATGTTTTATTTTTCAGAATTCAATTATAATTTATTTAATATTTAGATAATCGGAATCTTTTATATGTTGTAATTGTCGGTTGGTTGATTGATTGTTGTCGTGGTTGAAGAGGGTGGTGGGTGCTTTATTTATTTTTTGTTCACAGTTCGAAAACAGGGTTATCCCGTTCGAATCTTCAACAATTTGGGTTTTTTTCTTTCAATCGGAATTTATTAATTTGTTTATTGTTCAAGTAAAATGATTCTTTGATTTGTTGTAATTGTTGGTGATTGATTGATTGTTGTTTGTGGTCGAAGAGGATGTGGGCTGCTTCATGCCTTGCTTCGTGTTGTGCTGTGTGCGCCTGCGATGCGTGCCGCACGGTGGTTTCAGGGATTAGCCGGAGATCGGCGAGGATCGCCTATTGTGGACTTTTTGCCCTTTCTCTGATTCTTTCGTGGATACTTCGTGAGGTTGCTGCGCCGCTTATGGAGAAGCTCCCTTGTAATTTTCGTTAAAACTCTGCCTCTCTTAATTCGGTTATTGCTAAATTATGCGAGTCACGTAGTTAGTTTGTTTTTAGATTTCAATAGGAAAAACAATTGTTGATGTTGAATCGAGTAAATGATGACGCTAAATAGTTAGTAGTATAATAGCATTAGCATATGCAATGTGCAAGGAGGATGGGTTATTTAGGATTTGTTTTTGTGGTAATTTGTCTCACAAGCGTCGTTTTACTCTGAGCTAAGTGCCTTATACATGTCGCATTAATGTATTATGTCTTTTAGGGAATCTGAAGAAAGCTAATACTTCGATTTGATTATGGAATTTATCACCATTCACCATGTCTTGGATATGATTTATCGGATTAAATCTGTGTTTCGGATAATGACAAGCTTGTCTTTTACACATTTTCCCTCGAGTGATAATTGGTTCTAGTACCGTATTTCGCTTCTATCATGCTGCCCCATTTTTGGTTGTCTTTAGTTATTGATATGTGCCTCCATGTTCATGTATAGAATGCTTAAAAGCAAGCTTGCTGGCTGCATCTTGCATATACTCATTTTGCTGATTTGTTAATATGCCATTGTTATTTGTGCAGGGATAAATCATTTTCATAAAACACCGGACAGGGAATGGTTTGAAACGGACGCGGTGCTGAGGGTTAGCTTGGGAAATTTATGTGTTTCACTATCCTGTCAGTTTCTATGGTTGGAGTGAAAACTCAGAGGGATCCTCGTGATGCTGTGCACCATGGTGGATGGATGATGAAAATTATTTGTTGGTTCATTTAGTGATTTTAATGTTTTTCGTTCCAAATGAGATTATCAGCTTCTATGGTAAGCTACATTCTGATGGATCATTCTACAAGATTAAGAATATTATCCTTGTCTAAATGTTTTACAGGCTATAGGAGATAAGTTCTTAGAGACCATTTGCAAATATGATTAGTGGAGATAATAATTTGGCTAAAATTGATTATAGTCAACTTAAACTTACACTTAAATTTGCTTTTGCAGAGTCAGTATCAAGTTTGGTGCAGGACTGTTCCTTTTGGTTCAGGTTGTGCTTTGCTTGACTTTGTTCATGGATGGAATGACAAAGGGTCGGATACGATGACAGTTCTGGTTAGTTTTGTTTCTGACATTTTAATGGGTTCACTTCTTTTTATTGTTCAGATCAACTGATATCCGTGCCTTTTCTCTAGGTATGTTGCTCTGTTAGTTGTTTCACTTGTCTGTTATTTGGCAACATTTGGCTTCTCGGGACTTCTCTTCCACTGGTTCACTCCATCCGGACATGATTGTGGACTCAATACCTTCTTTATCGTTATGACCTTGATTCTTGTTGCTGTTTGCCATAGTTGCTCTGCATCCTGCTGTAAGTCTCTACTTTTGGGTCTTCATAATTATTTTATCCCATCAATATCAATTTTATCCCATATTTATTACCTTGGCTCGAGTCGATGGCGCTGTTAGATATATTATACTGTTCCATGATTGATAAACTGTATACCTTTTCAAACATGCATTTGTAGTGCAACTTTATCACCGTACCATATTTCATGCCGTTTATACAAGTATGTTGATGCACATAGTCATTCCCAATGTGTATATCTTGTTGAATTCTTATGTTTAACAGGTTGGCGGTAGCATTTTGCCAGCTTCAGTCATATCATTGTACTGCATGTACCTATGCTACAGTGGACTTGCAAGCGAGCCAAGAGATTACGAATGCAATGGTCTTCACAATCACGCTAAAGCAATTTCTACCGGCTCCTGACCCTTGGTCTAGTTACCACTGTCCTGTCGGTTGTCTATTCTGCTGTTCGTGCTGGGTCTTCCACGACTCTGCTCTCCCCACCAAGTTCACCACGTGCAGGTACCATGGACAACATTTCTCGATCCTTATACCATTGAAATAAGCTTTCACGATGTTCTTTTCTTAGAACTTAAGCAAGTTTTGTTTACAAACTTCATTTATTTTTGTATTGAGAATAGGGGTAGGTATTTCGAAAGTCCATCAACCGTGTTTGGTTTACATATTTTGAGAATTCGGGGTTCACTTCTCCCTCTTTCCTCCGTCCCTCACCGCATTTTAGGATCTTTTCGAGGGGTGGAAAAGATACCAAAACAAATTATATATTAAGAGAGTACTTTAACATTCTGCTTTGAATGGTTGAAGGTGCTGGAAAGCCTTTGCTTCCAATGGACAAAGTAGACGAACACGAAGAACAGGGGAAAAACAAGCCAGTCTCGTATTCGTACGCCTTCTTCCACATAATCTTTTCTCTAGCAAGTATGTACTCGGCAATGCTCTTAACTGGATGGTCAACCTCGGTTGGGGAAAGTGGCAAGTTAGTCGACGTAGGCTGGCCATCTGTGTTGGTTCGGGTTATAACTGGGTGGGTAACTGCAGGTCTCTATATCTGGTCACTCCTTGCTCCTATTCTGTTCCCAGAGAGGGAATTCTAGTTCTTGGCCATTGTTATTGCAATAAATTTAGTTATATGTGTGTGTGATTTGACAAATCGGATTAAAAAAACATTTATCTGTGTCAAAAGTGGGAATCAGTAAATGTACTCTTTGTATGTGTGTTTGATCAGTGATGGGGTTGAATATACCCTCACTGAAATCCTAAGAACCCTTTGTTGATGCTATTATACCATAATGTAATTATAAGGTTGAAGTAAATGTGTTTAATTTTAACCCCTTCATCTTTGATTGTGTAATTTCACACAACTTAGTAGGATTTATTGATTTAAAATATGAATAAATAAATATTTGAGTCGTTATAGTATAACAATTACTCGATTTTTTTTCTCTTATTGCGACTGTTCTTACTACATTCATGTATTTTTATTAAAAAAAATCCATACTATTAATTGAGGGATTGTTAATTAAATCTTAATTCGGTTGATACGTTTTACAACGTATTTTTTAAATTTTTTGAGACGAT